GGATAGGATCTCGTCCAAATCCACGTTGTCGTAGCGATCCGTGTATTGATCCGCGCTCACAGCAGCCACCAGCGCCAACAGACAAACCATCAGGAAAGTATTCATTTTGGATCTGTGAATTATAGAAATTCTTTATCATTAAATTAATTCTGTAATAACAATAAAATCCTTAGTTAATTAATGTTATAATTGCGAAAGTAACTCTGTCTGTCTGTCGCACGCTGACGTAAAAACTTTTCAACCGATTTAAATGAAATTGAATACACAGATAGTATGGAGCCTGAGTAAAGATATAAGCTAATTTGTAATGGCAAAAAAGGTTCCCGAGGGCGAATCGTGCCGTGGTATGGCTTGTGTTATTTGTTAAGTAATTAGGTTGTATAATCAAAAATCCTACCCAAAGACACCATTCTAGACGGTAGAAGTCGCGGCACGGCTAGTATTCTATAAATTTAATTATATTGCCGTAATGTTTCAAACAGATTAACGACACTTTTCCACACATGGCATGATCTACTTCATATTTTCATCGGGATTAACGTAATTTGTAAACAGATTTCCCTCGTGACGTTTCAGTGAGAAGGCAAATTTAATTAAATTAAGCTTATTTATTAAGGTTTTATTTGTATTAAAATTGAAGCTTTATTTCGAACAAGGAATAACGAATATGCAAAGCTATCAACAGCTATGATACGGAAAAAAATACCTGTAAATATTAATTGTTGATAAACAAGCAAGATAGATCTAAGATGCGTTCTACTTGCAAGCAAACTGTCAACTAATGCAATGGGTTGCAGCCTGCCTATTATATCTAAGTACGAGGCTAATTGAAGTGATCAATGTGACGTTAAGACAATACCTGTCGATAGATCCGACGTACATTAAAATTTTCCAACTAATTACACACGACATGTTCATGTTACGTTTGTCAGGATACATCAAGTTTATATTAAAATGCTGGTTCAATACAATTATTACAATTCATTTACATTTTTATTTACATTTCTTAAGCCTAAAGCTTTGACATCGAACGAATATCGTTACTAATATAAGTTAGCCCTTTTTTTTCAGAGAGGAATCCTTTATGCATACTCCGCGCCCCGGGGGGACGCGGAAGTTATGTGGGATTCTCCTCCATAGCGGAGGCATACCCACTAAACCTCTCTGTTCCTCCAACGCATCGGGACGGGGCCACGGGCACGCTTTCGCTCTCGTCCGTCTCGAGGTAGCTCCCTCTCGGAATATAAGTTAGCCCTAGTCTATCTTACTAATAAGCGAATGTTTTGGTTAAATGGATTTTCGTTCGAAGGTATCTCCAGAACGGCTGCATGGATCTTGCTAAAATTGGCATAGATGAAGAACATAGCCTTAATATATGGGCTAATAATTAATTTTGGGATTAACGAATTTCTAACGTTATATGCGCAAATGTCACGATAATAGTATATGAAAATATTTTGAGCTTTCCAGACTAATATGATAGAGTAGAAAATAAATTAACTGAAATAAGCAGAAAAGATTCAACTCAATCCTTAGAATATAAAATAACCAATTTCTAATGTTTCTAAATCATTTTTCTTTTAAACAAATAAATTGACTATGTTTTAAATTTTCAGCAAGCAGTATTGTTTATATTCATTCAGACAGCGCCGGGAATCAACAGTTAGTATAAATATCCGATCTTAGTTATGAGTACAATCGATTTACAACATAGATAGTCATCAAGGTCCTTGTTTTTCTACTATGTGCATATACTAGCTGTTGTCCGCGAATCCGTCCGCTCGGAATTTAACAAAAAGTTGATTACCTTTGTGTTTTTTCAAACTATGTTCCACATCTATGCCAAATGTCAGCGAGATCTATGCAGCCGTTTTGGAGATACCATCTAACAAACATCCATCCATCCATCCAAAAATTCGCTAATAGGGATATCGCAACATATAAGGGAAAAAACAGATTAACTGATTGAAATTTATCAACGCACAGCCCAAAACACTGAGTTACAGACATAAACCACACAGGTTTCTAGTACTACGTGGTCGTAGACCAATAAAAGATTTTCCTGAATTTTTACTAAAAACGTCTAAAATAGGGAATGATAGTTTTAATGTAGGATTTTTTTTAATTCATCCTCCACACGCGTAAAATCGCGGGCTAGGACTAAATAGCAAGAGCTAATATTTTATATTTTTTATCCCCGATACATTCTACAATTGCATTTTTCCTCAAAGCAGGAACCGACAGTGTTATGTTAATTTAAATGATACAATTGCTTATTTTTTATTCCTGAGATAAGTACACCACTAGACCATTACGACCTATTTAAGTTGGCATAGATATAGAGTTGTAAAACCATTGAGTAATACAATTTTTTTCGGTTTTAACAGCTTAAAAATTAATCCCAACTTGTCTTTGCTCTAAAAGTACAAATACAATGTCGCGTACTGTACTTTTAATAACTTCGACCCTAAAATTCCATCAAACAATAATGCGAAGTTCCTTCCATTTCTCTTTTTAGTCTCCTTAGTATATAAACCTTAAAAACTTTTTTGTGCTTTCTAATTTTTTTTAGTAGCCAGAGACTGCGTATAGAATATGAATAAAAACTCAAAATTAGAAAAAGAAAACAAAAATTTATTACTACCAACAAAAAACAAAACAATAAAGCTACATCAAGCTAAAAAAAAACTATGCGTCATTATTTTACTTGGAGGTTCTCAATTCGTTTTCGTATTTCACCGAGTACTTGTGTTCGGGGTCGTATCTTGCAGTCAGCTCGTCCCAGAACTCCTGTTCGTTGTTGATGAGATGGCCGAGTACTTTGCGGGTACCTTTACGTTGAACTTCGGTACATTTCGCACAATCATTCTCAATCGCCTCAGCAATGTGCGCTGAAACAAGGCGATCAAGTTAGGTGAAGAGCCAATGTCGCAATAAGGTCGACTAGTCAAAGATTAAATATATGCAAGTATTACCTTAGCAACAATACAGATTTAATTAAATTATTTTTAATAGTCTTTGAATAAAAATAAATGTAAACTATTATTAATATCGGATCTGGAGCGACACTCTGCCAGAAAACATTTACATAAATATATTTTACAATAATTCCGATTGTATAAAATGCATTATAATAAAAAATAAAATATGCTTTGATATTGTAAGAATATGTTTAGTAAGAATTTATTATAATTTCAAAATTTAATAATCAAACTATAAAAAATAGCACAAAATTTCAACACTGAACTTCCTCAGAAAAGAACAGGGTTTTTGATTAGAAATCTAAGTCAAGAATTAAAAAAAAATGAGAAATGTGATATCGATAGATAGATGTATAGAACTGCGAGTTCAAATCGAATAAATATAAATCTAAATTTACATAGTCCTTCATATAAGAAATTATTAAGAAATACATTTTTGTATTTGATAAAAACGTCTCACCTTGAATATTCAACTAACATGATATGCGTGAAATAACGATGCACTAGTGCTCTTTACCCAAAAGAACAGGCAGAGAACAATAACTTTAGGGTACCGTCCTAGTAACAAATATTCTTCATGCTTTAGATATAGAAGAATAGAACATTTGCCTACGGATATTTAGGTTATAAATGGGCATTCTTATTATTTATCTATTATCTTATTCAGGTTTAAAGCTGGAATTAAAAATAGATAGTAGCCGATTCTTAGATCTGCGGAATATGCATATAAAATGTCATAAAAATGGGTCAAGCCGGTTCGAAGAAGTGTGGTAACTAACATTGAGAATTTTATATATGTATAAGATAAGCAAGCAACCTCGTCTTTCTTAGATCGTTCGTCCAATAGAAATAAATATCTTGCTAGTGACAATCAACTCAACCTTTAAACGTTTATAAATCTAATGGACAACTTACATTTAAGCTCCTTGCCATCGGGAGTACACTTTCCTTTGTCCAGAACGCAATGGATGTAGGGCACGAGGAGGCGACGATTGCCGATAATCTCGTCTAGGTCGATGTTGTCAAAGCGATCAGTATAGGTTTCCGAGGGTGACGGCATGGCGGTCGCAATCGCCATCGCGGCCAACAAACAAGCCACTGTTAAAGTATTCATTCTGCAATATAATAATCACAACTATATCAATAATTCGATGTATTAATTCCTATATTGTGCAAGTGTAGGTTTATGATGACTTTAACAGATTAAAAAACTGTTAAATGAAATTAATAGCATTAACACATTAATATGTCTATGCTAAAACTTTTTATCTACATGAATTAAAACACCTCTTTTCTCAATATTCCAGTTCCAAATAATTTCACCTGTGTGGACGGAACAAAACTTCTTATTTTCCATTTTAAAAAGAAAATTAATAAATCTAAATATTACAGTACCTGAAATCTAAGTAAATCCAACGCTGCACAATTGTTAACTTAATTCAAACACAATATGTAGTCACATTATATACCAAAGTTACATCGTGATTTTGACAATGAAACATTTTTTTTCGCCAATACATCAGTCCCCACTGATTGTGATTTTCTAAGAAAAAATCTATTACCATACCATTATTGCAGTGAGAAATATTGACGTCATGAAAACCACTTTTTATGTTGTAAGGATTTAACTTAGTCAGTTACATTCTAAGTTAAAGTGTGGATGTGTCAAGCTTAACGCATTGTACTTAAAAAAATATTTTATAGTTTACATTTCCAGTTAAACGATAAACATTATTAAGAAATTAAAACATAAAATATATGAAACAAAAACATTCCATTTGGAAAGGATAGGCCAAGTAAGATATTTTTTGCAGATTGATAAATATAGAGCCGGAGCGTCGTACATACTACGCACATACTTTTTAAGAAAGAAAAGTAATTTTTCATTTTTTCGAACTTTAGACTTCAATAAAATTAACCCATGAATCTGGTAACATTTGTACTTAGAGCCTAACACGATTAACATTATGGTAAATTTTTCAAATAATAATTTAAAAGGCAATTTCAATAATCAATAAGCTTCTCTTCATAAACGCTCCCCCGTTATTTTCTATCTCGCCCCTTATTTTCCCTTTATCCATAAATAATATAACTTGCATTTCTTCTTCTATATTTTAATCTATAGTTTCTTATTAGTACATGCTAGACGCAAACATCATCAAATATCATTCATATGGATAGCACCGGACCAATCATCGTGACGTTCTTTGGGGAAGGATTATGCCTGTAATGGATATCTCATGGCTGAACAAGCAGACGAAAATACTCAATCATTTAATACGTTAACATCTATCTAACCCTCAAAACAAATTGTACTAATATATGTCATCCCTTACATTTATATAACAGATACAAAATGTCACTGCAGTCAAATCCCACAGAGAACAAAGACTAATTAATAAAACAACAAATACAAGGCGACGTTACTTAGTAATAAAACTTACATCATGACACAAGAAACAGAATTTAAAAAAGGTGACTAGGAATTATTATTAAGGTTAATCAATTCAGTAAAAGTTACATAAACACTTTTTTCATTGGCTGTACGTATTACATGCTGTTAACTTATAAATATTCAGTAAAATGAGACAAGCATTGATTGCTAAACTTAGGTTAGACAAATCTAGACGATTTTAACATTGCCGTTTACGTATACGGCCTTTTTTTTCAAAAAAGTTTTTGTTTTTTTTTTACAGATTTTAGATTGTTGATGTTTTTGGGTTATGAATTCACAGAAATAAGATATTGAATGACCATTCCAGAAATATCTGCTCCTATTGCCGCAACTACGATACAAAAAATTATAAACGTAACTAACTTTCCATCACTATGTAAAATTCATATACATGATTTCGTACAGAGATTCTATCAGTAGAGACCAACGTTTAGAAATAAAATTCTGTACAAAGAGAACGCGCGAAACGGGAAGGATTAAAAAAGGGACAAATATCGTTATTTTGTAAATAAAAAAATATGATTTCTAATTATTCATTTATTCAATTCTGGAGTTTATAAATTTGGTTAATTTTTATAGTCGCTATATTATGTAAAATTCTGTAATATTTGCCAAAAAAAATATAATCGATGTTTGTATAACACTTAAATAATTGTTGCAAAATTTACTCGGAAACGTTTTAACACAATCAAATGCGACAATAATTCAATTAATTAATTTCATATTGTAATAAATAAATCAACAGCGACAGTTGTCATTTCGAATAAAACTTATATTCTAATAATCGCCGCACTGAAAGCCGTGAAATGATAACAAAGAGTATGTTTAGGATGAGAAATTTCCACTAAGTAATACTAATACACCCTTAGTGATTAATTAACGACTTTAATTGCGACAATAAAAGGATTTTACGTTAGATTATGCAGGAATTGTGCGTAATATTTGCTCTAATTTACGCGGCAATTGTGCGTAACTCTTCCTCGTATTTACGCGTGTATTTGCTGGTAGGATCGTATTTCTGACAGAGTTCGTTCCAGAATGTTGGCTCGTGGTTGATGAGATGGCCAATGACTTGACGGGAACGCGTCCTTTGAGGCGGGGTACATTTAGCACAATTGTTTTCTAAAGCTTCTTTTATGTGAGCTGGAAAATAATAAATAAATTAGTGTCATTAATAAGATATCGTATACATGGTTATATGTTTTGCAGTTTTTCGAATAAAGATGTGAATGAGATTCGCTGATTTTATTTGTTTCCTCTTAGATAATTGGGCAACACCTCCTAGGGAAATCTACGGAATGGCCGTGTTCTTTTAATATCTTGAAAGATATTTAAGGCTTAAAGTTTTTTTTTTATAATTGTAAAAAAATCTGTTATTCCGATATTCGCGGAAAAATACTAAATTAGATGTTATGATAAGGAAGGCATAGTTCCTTGAATTATATTCACGTCACGCGGTATGGTAATATTTTTACTCGATAACTAAATCTAACATAATCTCCAATGCTTTAATAGAATTCATATTAACTGTTCGTGCGGATAAAAGTTTATGATATTTTAAAATCATTGAATGCAACCAAGTGGTGCTACGTATATGCAAATGTATAAAATTACATGCAAATTAATACACGGAAAATTAAGAATCTTTAACTTGGGACTTTAAGCAGTTTTTGTTACATGAGAGAAATTCCAAATAAGACAACAATGGAGAAAAAGAGTAATAAATAAAACCTAATAAAATATAAAATAATAATAATAAAATATTATATAAATTAAAATCCAAACAATACCTTATTAAGGAAATGCAAATAAGTTTACCTCAATTTTTTTTTAAATATCAAATTATAAAGTTTTATCTACACCTCACATTTTACTGTTTACATATTTGTATTTTGTCAATAGACTCAGTTTTTATTTTATTTTAGATGATTGAAATGTGTAGCTTTAAAGATATGCAAGCACTTTAAAATATACTTACACTTAAGTTCCTTGCCTTCAGGCGTACATTTTCCCTGGTCGAGCAAGCAGTGGACGTAAGGTATGAGTAGTCGTCGGTTGCCGAGGATCTCGTCAATGTTAATGCTGTCATAGCGATCAGTGTACTGGCCAGCGGGACCAGCTACGGCCGTAGCCAATACAACGAACAAACACAATAGAACCACACTCTTCATTCTGAAATAGAATTTATAAATTTGTTAACTAAGAAAGATAGACAACTACTGAACCTCGTATTTGTTAAGATTTGTTTATTGAACAATAAACCCGACAGTCGTACCCCTATGACACTCCAGGGAAGAATACGAATCGAACGACACTTCATTGTTAAAATGGATTCAGTGGTTAAGGCTCTAGACTCACTAGGCAACTTTCATACATTTAAACCCACATACTTACTCAAAAGCTTACATACGCGCGAAAACATAACCCCCCGTATCAATGGGGTAAAGACTAACATATACAAACAGTGGAAATAACATAGAATTTTATGTATTTATTATAACATTTAAATTATATTATGTATACTAATAATATATAATTTATAATAATTTAAAATCTTATATTGTTTTAATTCATTTTATCCTATTGATAGGATGGCAATTATTGTGTTCTTTACCTTAATTTTTCTATAAAGCTATAGACGTCCAGTCAGGTACAAAAACACTTTGATGTATATTGGGAGATCGGGACGGCTTACTTTTTATAGTGTACAATGCTTCATTTTTGGACAATACGATAACTCGTTTTGGTAGTTTTTTTTACCGATTCGTAAAACTCGCCTTCGTCATGTGTGGTGTTAATTGTGTTAAAGGTAAAACCATGACGTAAAAGCTTGATGTTGTATAGAATTACTAAATTTAAATTGACATTGAAAATTGTGCTTTATGTTAAAGTACTAAAGTGCAGTTTTGTACAATAATGAATTGATATTGATTTAATAATTGTTGATCTAATGGAGTCATGAAGTTTGAACTATTTTGCTCTACAGATGATGTCAGTATTTGCATAGACAAACATAATGTGTGAAAAAGGCAATATTAGCACATGAGTCCTGTGCATACAAAATGCAGTTTGTAAACACGAAGAGTGTTGGTGACTGTACCTATGTTTGTTTTAAAATGGACGATGAATAAAACTAATTGATTTCATACAAAAAGCACAATAATACAGTGGGTAACTTAGAATTTACACCCATGTTTAATGCTTTTTAGTTCATAAGGACTTCGTGACGACGTACGACATAGACCTTATGTTATTGTCGACGAATGCTAGGATAATTTTTAATAACATTGCAATTCATTTGACAATAGAATGATATCTTCTGTACTTTGTAAAATGTATGATAAAAATAACTTAATGACGTGTATTGTATTTATCAGTTTCCTAATTATTATTGTAAATAGGAGCTAAAATTATTGGAGAGCCAAGAAGGCTGTAGTAATAACACAAGGCGTTTCGTAGCAGACGATGTTTATGTCACATGGCCTAGACCTTCGCAGTTCAAAGGTTAACAGGTCGCAATATATCGCTATTATCTCAAGTAAAATTAATGTCATCCAATTGTTTATGTTTTTCATCATTGATATTTACGTCGTTTTCACAAACATTCAGCAAGTTTATTATAATGTGATGATGGAAAAATTTAAGAAATAGCTGGTTGAATGTAGTCTCTGCTTGAAACCAGTCTTCCGTGACGTCATGGTACATTCCCAGGGTATCCACGAGTACACGGTTGTTTATAAATAAATAAAAAACGTTACTATAAATTCGTATCTGGGTAGAATTTAACATGCGTAAAACTTATGGGGGTTACAAAAAGTAATAAGATTAAACAACAGCTTGAGGAAATACCATTGTCATTACTCTTCGGAATAATTGTAGAAGTAATGTGTTTATAAAGTTTAATTGTAGGTAAATTACTGAATGGCTGACCTCTTGGTTGCTAGTGCAAGGGCGTCGTACCACATTACTCTCGTATACCTCACAGACGATTTGCTACAAGGCTATTGTACAAAAAACATATCAAAATATACCGTAACACAAGTCAATAGAGTGGACAATCGCTTAAAATGTTCTATAACATAGTAAACATAAACAAAATTATAAATTATCCAATGTCGCGTCTATTCCTCGGAACTGTCATGTTGCATTTTGCGGTTTCTCCTTAAAATTTCCACGTTATTTGCCGTAGCGGGTAAATAGTAAATATCATAAAGACTTGCAAATAGATTAATATCACAGAACGAGCGCATTTAATTACAATGTTTGTGTAGTAGTTAATTTTTCAAATAAATGTCGTCAAATGATAACTCTAAAAGTATATTTTCATTTTTTAAATAATAACCAGGAAACAATATATGCTCGAGACTTAGAATCTCCTAAGTACTTCATGTTTGCATGATAGGAAACAATTTAATGCAGAGAAAATAGTATAAAATGGTTGCATCAATTTAGAAAAATGCCCTATTATTTCCAGTATAAAACAAATGATACGTTATGCAAAATGCGAGTACAAAATTTCTCTTCGTTTTGATCTCACGAGAAACAATTGACGGTACGTAGAAGTTTTATTTAGTAAAAATTATTATTAAAATTACAATATTTTCCTGTGTATTTGTACCATACTTCGTGTCTATATTATGGAATTAATTATCAAATTTCCGTTTGATTGTACTGTTGTTTTGCCATTTCTTATTCACAGTTACCCTGTTGCAAGTTATTCACAGAGACCTAATATTAGTCCTCTTTACCTTCCCACCGTTTTTTCTCATAAGTAAGGGATTTTCCGGTTGAGGGAATGCATGGGAAGGAAAAAAGCTCTTTCTGTGCAACCCCTCTTTCGTCGATTATAAGCAATTGCGTATGTCTATGGGCAACAGTTACTTCGCTATTTTAGCGATTCCAGGTGGCCGCTCACTCGTTTGCCTTATGATAACAAAACATCCAATCTATGGATACCTACGGACCTCTTATAAAAACTGCTTAACTCAAGAACAGTACTCGTTTGTTACAGCGCAAGTAGTTTTTAAAAGACTTCGTACAAAAGATTTAACATTATAGACGTAAGATGAGGTCATGACATCGCATTTAATATTTTAACATACTAATAATAGTTATTTAAATGAATGTGCAAATTACATTTGTGATTGTTAAATTAATTTATTGTTTACAAGAAGACCGTCTTAAAATCATATTAACTAACACAAAAAAAAAAAAACATTTTCCTCATGTCTGGCAAAATCAATCTGATTGTATTTTATAAGAAGAGAACATATCCTGGACACATTGGATACTGAGTATTTTTATTCCGCACAGACGGAGTCGCGGGCAACAGCTAGTAAACATATAAAAAACCTGACGTTTAGAACTAACTATCGAGTTTTTTTTATTATAACGTATTGGATTTAAATACATATTGAACTCATACCAAAGTGGCAATATACAGATACTTTTTGCAGCTTATCTAAGTTATAGTTTTTTACTTAGGGTAATTAAATAAAAAATGCAAGGCAATAAAAACTACAGATTGTTTATTGGATTATAAACGATTTGTCTGAGAATAGATTAGCAAGACTTGTTGCTGCGAGAAATGGGCGTACATACATGTATAATAATTAGGTCTTTATTTATGGTGTAAAAATTAATCACATACTTAAATGTGAATACGTAAACGAGCAGGCAAATCACATAGTAAATGACAACCGCATCCAAAGACCGCTGACGCAACAATCAACAATTGCAGATTGGTTGGCGTTGGTAGTGTGTATAGGAAAAAGATGAAGGGAAGAAGTTGTTTATGTTTTCTTTGAGTAACATCTAGTGAATTAATTGCTATTATTTCATCCCACGTTACATCAGAGGAAGAAATATTACGGAACAAATTTAAAAATATTGTTTTTCACAGTGCCTGTTGTTAATTAAAAGCAATTTTACAAAAATGAAAATTTGCTGGAGTCTTAAAGTCGCAGTCGCGTGTTTTTTTTTTCAATAAAAAGAATCCATTTTATGTTTTATTTCTAATTTAGTCAGCATTTATTAAAAGTAAAACATTAACAGATATGACTGTTTTTAGGCTACAATGAAAATAATAGTTTTAAATATTTTTATCTTGGTGCTTCTGTACTGGAGCGAGGGCTTTCCAGCTCCAACATATACTACAAAGTATGACAACGTCAACCTGGACGAAGTGTTGGCGAGTGAGCGCTTGTTAACTGGATATGTAAACTGTCTTCTCGACCAAGGACCTTGCACACCCGATGGCAAGGAATTAAAACGTAAGTATAGACATAAAAGAAGTACCTTAAGTAATAATTTTACTGGTTTTGTTATAGTGCAATGGACGTCTTCTGTTAGGCAGAATCCGACAGATCACTGTGTCATCTCAAAATTCAGTAACTATTTTTAAATATCCTGCAAAATGTACTTTACAGAAAATTTGCCGGACGCCATAGCCAACGACTGCAGGAGTTGCACTGAGCGACAACGCGAGGGCGCTGACAAAGTGATGCACCATATCATTGACAACCGACCTGATGACTGGGACAAGCTTGAACAAAAGTAAGGATTAGAAATGACAGCTTTATTCTTAATAAATGTAACAAAATACTAGCAAAAAAGTAGAGAATCATAAAAAAATCAACATATGTTGTTCTTTCATTTTTTTGATGATGAATCCTTTTTTTTATCCGACTTACTCCATAATAAAATGCTTTACTATAAATTTGGAATTCTTTTTATTACATTTCAGATATAAATCTGACGGTAGTTATAAAAAGCAGTACTTGGAAAACAAAATTATGAAAAGCAAAGTTGAAGGAGAAAAAGAGCAATCCCAAGAAAACGAGGACGCCGACGAAAATGACAAATGACTTAAAGTGGACATACTCTAATGTACTACATGAAAAAATGGATTCTTTTCTCATCATTACATCAGAGGTTCGTCTATCTCTCTTATTATAACAATTGGTAAATCTATTTTATCGTCTATTGAAACTGAACGTAAAAATATAGAACAGCATTCACTAGAGAGTTTTATTCCAATACATAAATGACCATATATAGTTTATTTTAATACTCTCAAAATCAGGAATAAAAAACTTAAATAATAATTTAGCACTTTATTCAAATTAATTGACAATTAAAAATATGTATAAAAAAGACGATGCAATAGGACATCCTGTGTACAACTACATTTGCATTTTTCATTAAATACAGATTTATATTGGCAATTTTTTATAATGTCTTAGCAGACTTAAATGTATTTTCAATTTAATATCTATTTTTCATATATTCAAACTCGCTCCAATGTATACCTTCTCACTCTAACTGAAGCGCCTGGTGAAATAATTCTGTTTTTAGATTCGTGTAACTCTTCAGGTTCACCTTTAACTTTATATCGAAATGTCTTTTGCTTTGTATCATTATCAGTTTTTGCATTTAGTTTCGTAAACATAGCGTACCTAGAAATTTATAAGTCTAGAAAATAAGTTATTATTTTACGTAAACGCATGATGATCGGAGTCTTATCCTCGTTTCATGTCAATTATTTGACGTTTGTTATACCTCGTAAGGAATATTTTCCAAGCGACGGGATCGTGTGCCAACATGGACGCTACAATTTTACCAGCTTTCTCTTTTTCAATTACAGAACATTTTTCACAATCATTCTTCAGTGCTTCAATGAGAATTCCTAAAAACATAAAACATTTTCTTAAAATTTATCACAACATTTTTTCATTTAAATACCAGCTGTTGCTGAAGGCAGCGTCCGCGCAAAATTAAAAAAAAAACTTAAGTCGCCTCTGTGTTCTTCTAGACTATGTTGTAAATCTATGCCATTCAGCGAGATTCATGCTGGAGATACCTTCTATTACCCATCCATCCAACATGTGCATTTATAATATTTGTAAGAAGTAAAATTTCGGCAGTGCGATGCGAATACACTTCAAAAGCCATTAAGCTAAATTTATGCAATAATCATACAGTTAATTTTGAATTCCTCTACATAACAAAAATTAGTGATACCAACAAATTAGGAACCCTTGGTTTTGCAGTCAGCTAAAGTTACTTGCAAAGACTATCAAACAGAAATAACGACCACACACAGAGTGGGACATAGGTAATCTTTCCTACATATGTTCGTAAGCTGGTACTGGATGATGTTATGTCTTCACTAAACAAGTGGGATATTAGACCGATTGAGGGGATGTGATCTAACAGTTAACCTCTCAGAAGAAAGGCAGAAGAAATTAATTACTTACCTTTAATTTCGTACATGTTTTTGGTGCAATGATTATCCGTTGACATCAAACATTTGACGTCTTGCGGCTGCAGCGGCGGGACAGCTTCATTGATATTGACTTTGCTCTTCAACATATCCAGTTTCTCTTTTTTCTTAACAACCTCGTTAACTTCTGCAATATCGTCTTCGCCGTAAATTATTTTATATCCCATACTCTTGACACCGGGGCTCATAGTCCTTTCAATTCCTCCTATTGTTATTTCAGAGAAAACTGTCCCTGACAATACTAGAATTGCTAAAGTTATTGCCAACATTTTTAAGTTTCTGTTCTGTATTTCAATGAAAACTTTTTTATGGAATACGAGCAGACGACAGTAGAGTCAATGCTGCAATGATTGTAAATGATGAAGATTATATCAAGAGCGTTTAGTGTTGTTAATAGTGAAAATTAACAGGGGTAATCAACCTTTGGTGCGTGCACGAATGATTTTTGAACAGTACACACAATAAGCCATTGTGTTCAAATGTCACCTTATATAAGCGTTGTGCAGATAGAGATCTATCTTGATTGTTTTATAAATAAAATAGAATACAATAACATATGATTATGAATACTTTGTATGCTGTCCAAAATATTACATTTGTGAATATGTAAATAACCGAAAACCTAATCATAATAATTTGTGTAGAAATTATATTTTATAATTATATTTAATGTATAATAATTTAATTCAGAAATTCTTTTTTGATTCTCTATTTTTATCATTGCATATCAAAAGGATGTTTGGGAATTGTGATTTGTATAGATTAGAATTTTAGTGTTTAACACCCCTGATATTTAAGTATTCGGGGCGCGACTGCCGCTGTAAACAAACAACCTTCACTCCATACGCATACAAATTGCGACAAATACTAAACATTAGTTATTGAATCTGTGATAATGGATAATTACCAAATTTTACAAATTCCTTTGTAACACAACGGGACAGGCTGTTTCGCTTATTATTAACAACACTTCCTCGGTGACAATCAACACCAAAGTTTAGACTAGTCGCGGCAACGAATCGAAGCGCCTGTATTTTTCTCCCGAGCAATATAATTTGTTTAAATTGAAAACTCCTGACAATGTTCGATTAAGACAAAGAATAAACAGGAATGATATGCCAAATTAGAGCATCTGCGACATCATGATCACTATTCGTCCGCAACAGAATTGGTAAGGTTAACATCGAACACTTTTGTAATAATTTTAAACAACAATTAGAGTAGTGAGAAAAACTTGTTTTGGATTTTTTCCTATAAAGTTCTAATTAAGCAATGTATACAGGGTAAGTAAGTAGATTCTGATATATCAGATAGTTACTAACTAAAATATATATAATGTGGGATAGATTTTTAATTTAATAAAATGAGGTAATAGAAAAGAAATATTTGCAGTAGGATTATTTTATTTGAAAATAAAACTATTGTTTTTTGCTATATATGTTTATTTTTTTAACAATTCTTCCATTTTCTTAGTAGCTACCGCCATATCCATTTTATTAGAAGTAGTTTTAGCTAAAATCCCTAATAACGAATTCAATATTTTTACTTTTCCCTCTTTGTATTTCTTAACTAACTTTGGATTGTTGTCGAGAACTTCTTTGCATTTCTGTTCAATAACTGTTTCATCACTTTCTAACGTCCAACCTTTTTCTTTAATAATTTCTAATACTGAAAAATCAATCGGTCTATCGAAGAGTTCGTCAAGTAATTTTCTATATATATCCAAATTAATTTGTTTATTTAATAAAGCGTCTGTTGATTCTTTCATTTGATTAACAGTTATTGTACAATATTCGACATCGACTTTCCTCTTGTTAAGTACAGTTAAGAGATCATTAAGTAAAAGATTGGCAACTTTAGTAGGGTTTCTAGTGACATCTGATACTAATTCGTAGAAATAATTCAACAGAGCTGGTTCATTGACAAGTTGTATGGCTGATATTTCTCTTAAATCATATTCCTCTATAAGTTTCCTTCTAGAATCTTCTGGAAGTTCCGGTATTGTTTCTTTAATAAGGGGAACACTGATTACATCTTGTGTATCTTCTTTTGTATGTAAATTGACCCGAAGCGGCGGTAAGTTCGGCTCTGGCATATATCTATAAAAATTCCATTATGTATTTATTTTTATAAGATCAAAGATATATTATCATATATTATCTTGTTTGTTAATAAGATTACAATTCTTGTGACCTTGACTGATATTTTCTTGGACTTGAAAATAATGATAGTTAATTCTGATCGATGTTATATACCTATTTGATAAGAAAATGTGACTTAGGCTCTATAATAAATATCTACGTATATTTTTTTTTATAACATATATTTAGAGATAAGTTTCATTAATTCTTGTTAAACCGTAATAATCCCGAAGCCTTAAAATAGTACGACAGAGGGGACAGCGTAACTATTGTCATGTTACTTACTAAATCCTATTACTTTGTACTCATGTAACTTATGTTATTGCGTGAATTGACTAACATTTTCAAGACCATAAATACTCGACACTGGCCCAATCAGCTAAGGCCAGAGCCATAAACAAGAAATTTGAATTAACTTTTAAAATATCAAACAAATATCATTATAAATGTTCTATCGTTTTTATTAAAATGGCTTGTACAGTCACCTGCTTAAATATTTGTACATTTATAAAACTTCAGAAACTTGTATCTATCTATGGTTTAAAAAATGTTCCGCCTGTATACTTTTGACCATGGATAGAAGTAATTAATAAATATGTGCATTTTGAAACAGGTTTCTAGGGTTTTGTGAATATATATTTTTGTAGCTGACTGTACTGTTAGTTTAAAATAAACTGTTTCAATTTAGATTTCTTTATAATTACAATACGTTATACAATATTAGTTTTATTTATACTGCAGACGGTTCAGAAGGCTTTAAATATTTATTTTAAGATACTACAAAAGATAACATTTGAAGACTACTAATATTATTTAAAGCTTTTGTTTGGAACTACGTTTTTTTTTTCTCAAATTAATTTTGTTTATAACATAAGTATTACATTTTGGGTGATAGACATTTTAAATATACTAGCGTACAATGAAAACACAAAAAGACACTTGGATATGTACCTGTAATCCTGAACAACTTCTTTATCTCGCATAGCGATTGTGACTTTGTTGGTTGCGTCCCAGGAGCGTGTTTCGTTAATTATGTGCCCGCCATTGTCAAGAATAGTTCTTTGTCGTTCTATTTCATGGCGGACAGCACCAGCAACACCACGGATTGACCCGATGTTTTTAATCTGTAAAATAAATACAATCATTTTAATTTATTCAAACAGTAAGACAAACAATGTACAATTTATTATATTTATAATTGTGGTATGTACTGAATTTTTTTTTATTATTAAATCATAAGGAAATAATTTCTTATGTTACTTTTACAAAATACTAACTTCAGTTCTAGTAGATAGAGGTTCTCCAAACTTTCTCAATGAGACATTAGCATCGACTCGTAACGCTCCTTCTTCCATGCGGCCCGAGCATGCGCCGAGCTTTTGCACAATCAGCACAAGTTCCTTAACCAATGCAGCTGCCTCTTCTCCATCCTGAAATTTTACAGAATAAAACTTTAAATATTATTATTATCAATTGTGCTCCATGAAAATCATAACAAGCCACCATAATCTAAAACTCTTATCTCTTAAATTTTGTTTTCAAATTATAGGTAACTAGCAGTCGCCCGTGACTCCGCCCAGACATAATTAAAAAATATGATTAGCCTATTTGTTCTTCCAGACAATGTTTTATATGTATGCCAAATTTCATTGACATCTGTTCAGCCATTATGGAGATACCTTCAAACAAACAAACATGCACCCATCCATCTAAACATTTGCATTTAAAAAATTAGTAAGATTTTTAATGATTTGTCCGATGTATCAGAGCTATCAATGATAGATATTTTATTAATGAGAATTAGGAATATTGAAATAACTTGCCTCTAAATCAGGTTCAAACACAAGTTCTATCAAAGGTGCCCCAGCTCTGTTCAGATCAACTAGACTCCTCTTTAACTCACTGTCATGAAGTGATTTACCACTGTCTTGTTCTAATTGGATTTGTTTTATTTTTGAACTCTTTTTGTAAGGCTTTTTGTGGATACCCGGAGTAAATACCTGTGTACAAAGAAAAGAAAAGTATAAGTAAACCTTGGAACAACAAGAGCTTAGTAATTTTAATACAAGTTGATGATTTTCCTAAAGATATTGAATCCAAACTATTGCAATAACATCAAGGAGACCAGTAGTATTCCAGCATAATAATCAATACAGTCTATATAACCCATAATAGATGTTCCTGATTGGCTAAAATAGTTATTTACATGAACTCCTATATGGCATTACTAAGAATATGAATTCTATTCAACTATATAAATAAACATACCCCCTAAGGTTTTATAAGTACCTGAAAATTTATAACTCCACCGTTAGCTATAGGAGCTCTCTGCTGTGTTATTTGATACCCAGCAGGCAAATCTGCGTAAAAGTAATGTTTTCTGTCGAATGACGACACTTCATTCACTTTGCATGAAAGCGCTAATGCAGTTAATACACCAAGTTCTACACATTTTCTGTTTAATACTGGCAATGTACCCGGTATAGCCGCATCGAATAATGATACACAATTATTCACCAAACCACCAAAAGTGTTTTGAGCACCAGAAAATAGTTTAGACTCTGTATTTAACTGAGCGTGTACTTCTAAACCAACTACGCTTTGCCACTTTGTTTTTACACTAGTCGAATTATTTCTTTTAACATAATTTAAACATGTATTCCACTTTGTTACGTAATTTGTTACATTCATATACTTCATTTTCATATTTTTAAATAATAACCTAAAACATAACAAATCGTTTGACATTGACGGTTAATCTGTCATCTGCCAAAACAAATATATTTCATTCGTATACACGCAGAATTTTAAAAACATACAAGAAAACTGTAACAAAAGGTTTCGCGACACTCAACGACTTTTTAAAATAAGTAACAGAAAATTCTAAACAAGAATTTCACGTAAGAATGACAGTTAATTCACCTTTATATCGCAGTATATACCCAATGAATTAGGTCAACATTTACAGTTGCGAAAGAAAAGATACGTTTACAATTTATCTATTTCATTTTAAGATGCTTATCTATGAAATAAATTATTGTGAAAGAAACATTTCAATGTAACTAAAAAGAAACTCTCACACATGTGAATGTGAAAATGTTTTATACTTTAAAAATGATTGTGAATATAATAATTATTAGCAAATGGAAAAAAAATCGTTAATTCTAAATGAATTGATGTCGAACCTTAACTCATATTTCGGGCGATTAAGCATGTGGTATCGGCGTCATGTTTACTTTAATAATTTTTTTCTGAATTTATTCGAAATCAACAATAAAAAAATACATAAATAATAAAACAAA